GAAAGCAGAACTTTTCAAAATATTGTAACGCAAACAGAGCACGAAGTGTTCTGCTGCCATATATGAGCATGGAGGGGGTGGCTCATCAGTGGAGAAGAGAGGAGGGATCTCCTAGCCACCTTCCCGTGACTTGCTGTGCAGCACTGGGCTTTGCTGGCCACAGCCACCGCTGCAGGGCAGCATCTGGCCCAGCAGCACCCAGGATGCTCTTGATGGACACCTGAGATGCTGGCAGAGACACTGCTCCATGTACCAGGCTTGGTTTCTCTCTCCAAGCCACGGAGATTGCCTGAAGCTGGGACATGATACTTGGCTGAAGGTCTCAGCTGGTGTAGTGAATCCTGAAATGCTCCTGTGGCTTCAGAACCATCGGCCTTTTGGCCCTTTGTGTCCCAGACTGCAACTTCTGGACACCTTCCCTATAACCTCCCTTTGTACAGTCAAAGCCGACATGCACTGCGAATACGAAACCATGGGGTGTATTGCCCTGTCCAGCCATCCTGCTCTGCTCAGCCCACTGGTGGGGACCAGCCAGGCAAACCATGCCCAAAACACCCATAGTTTAGCTAAGTGCGGTATTTTCTGAGGTCTGCCATACTTCATTACCAACACAGGCAAGCCAATATCACTGTACTGCTTCACTTCCCCCATCTCGGAAGAGGAAAACATTAAGAAATGGAAGGCACTAATTAAGAGGCACATGTTAAAAAAAAAAAAAAAAAAGTCAGCCCATTTTATTATGCTTTGCTGACCTGGAGTTTCAAATCTCCTGGCTTCTGAAGGCAAAGACCAACCTCGATTAAAATTGCACAGATAGGCATTGATTTTGAAAAGCTTTCTAGTGCTACACTGTGTTTAGATTGAATTGCCTTATTAATCTAGTTGTTATCAGTTTGATTGTATAGCCAGCTCCACAAAATACCAACCTGCTTCCTAATCCTATTATTTACAAAACGCTCTTCTTTTGACTTCTGTTGGGATGTTTTCCAGTGATAAGTTGCATCTATATGTGCTAATGCCATATTACTGCCTTATGCCATCCTTTCTCATTTTTGCTTTGAGATTTTCAAGCTGGATTTCCACTATCTAAGATATTATGTAGGTCAAAACATTCTGTGCTCAGATGTAAAGTGACACTGATTCATATATCAGAGGATAAGAAAGAAAAATTGTCTTATGGTTCAGGTCCAAACTTTCTTGGATGAATAATTTCTGACAGATCAGGTATGCGAGGACTTTTCTATTCACCCACTATGAATGGGCTGTTTAGGGTTTTTGCTTCTCTTTTCATCGTTTCCCACTTCTGAAATGATTCTCTTAATTGTTGCTAGGTACGGTTTGGTCTCGCTTCGAGCAATTTCGATACGTGAAATCAAAGCTGCTTTGACTGAACAAGTAGGTCACACAGCCTCTTTGGGCGAGTGGATCTCTTAAGAGCAGGCTTTACGCATCCATATTCTCCGGCTTACAAATTCAAAAATGTGTTTTCCATGGATATTTTACGATGCCCACCCCCAGTTCCTGCTTCCCTGCAGCCTCTGCACAGAGAATACGCATGGGAAGTGGGGACGAGAAGCATGCATTAGCCAGAAATTTCAGCCATACCCAATCACCCATTTACCCACTTCTGTGGAGCCCGTTCCTGGTGGAACAAAACCTCTGCTTCTTCCTGACCTTGGGCAACCCAAGTGCTCCTCTTCTCCCTCCTCCACATAAGAGAGAGATAATAACATCTCTGTAACCCCTTGGGGGATTGTTAAACAGAATTTACTCATCTGAATTCATCAGAAAGAGTTCAGAATGCCACAATTTTTATCTGAGGAGTTCAAATGATTAACACCTACTAATTAAGTTTTCATGACCCGCTTTTGTGTTAGGCGTGTTTTATGATCCTTGTTTTATGGCTGGGACAGTGGGGGTGAAGTGGCTTGGTCCGTAACATCAAAAATGACAATCCCAAAAGCCAGGACAGGAGCAGGCGCCGTGGGCTTACAGCAGACCTGTCCTCTCGAAAATGCTGCTCTTTACTTGCCGAGAGCGAGCACGGCGCTTGCCGGGTGAGCGGGGGTAGGACGCATCACTCAGAGGACCACGGGAATCAATCTGAAAAGGTCTCATTGGCCTGAAAAGCACATGTAGCTGTTGGTCTCCTGAAACGGCTGCAGGCTGTACCCATAGCAGCCCCTATCTATTAAAAAAAAAATTAAAAGAAATCACCAGCTATACTTACTTTGTTTTTTAAGGGTTGCTCTGATGTTGTCCTCAATACCAGAATTGCTATTTTCTATCTGAAGGGCACCCAAGCGTGATGTCAAGCCTGGTCAGGGACTGCCCTCCCAAAATCTCTGCCCCGCCAGTCCCCACGCTGCCCCTGAGGCAGCTGGCTGGGCAGGGGACACAGAGCAGGATGCTCACAGCCCCTCCGCAGGATGCTGCTTCATGGCCAGATGGATCCAGTCACTGTAACTAAGAGTTTTGGGGAAAGGGAGATGCTGCCCAGCCACTGAAAATGAAATATAAACACATAGATCACCCCTTTCCTCCCAAACTTGATAGACTTGCTCCTGCTGACACTCACGGTGATATATAATCCTGTGTGCATTCACAGGCATAAGCCAGACCTTACAGCATCAGGGACTACCTGGCACCTGCATGCCGCCTCGTTAGGCTTGGATGCACCGACTGCCCTATTAAGTCAGTGAATTCGTTTTGCTGACTAAGAGCAGTGCAGTCATTAAGCTAAGCCATGTGCTCCCCCAGTCCTCAAGGGACAGGATTTGCTTAGGCCAGTGCTGTGAAATGTGGATCGGGATACAGGTTTCGACCCTCCCTCCTCTTCCCTGAAATTCAGGGATCGTAGTGAGACCAGCAGAGCAGCGAACACGGCTCCAGGGCTTTGGGGGAAAATTGCCACATTTCCAAGTTGTCTGTGAAAGGGTAATAATTGGCTTCCAAGTGCCAGCCACTCCCACAGGGTGGAGAAGCAAAGGTGCCTCAGGAGCCCAAACTGAGCAGGAACCAAGCCGTGAGGCTGAAGATTGTTGCCAAGAAGGCCAATGGTATCCTGGGGTGCATTAAGAGGAGTGTGGCCAGCAGGTCGAGGGACGTTCTCCTCCCCCTCTACTCTGCCCTGGTGAGACCCCACCTGGAGCACTGTGTCCAGTTCTGGGCTCCCTGGTTCAAGAAAGATGAAGAACTCCTAGAGAGAGTCCAGAGGAGAGCAACTAGGATGATAAAGGGACTGGAGCATCTCTCCTATGAGGAAAGGCTGAGGGAGCTGGGCTTGTTCAGCCTGAAGAAGAGAAGACTGAGAGTGGACCTCATCAACACATACAAATATCTTAAGGGTGGATGTCACAAGGAGGGAGCCAGACTCTTCGCAGTGGTGCCCAGCAACAGGACAAGGGGCACAAACTGAAACATAAGAGGTTTCAGTTGAATATGAGGAAAAACTTCTTTACTCTGAGGGTGACAGAGCACCGGAACAGGCTGCCTAGGGAGGTTATGGAGTATCCTTCTCTGAAGATATTCAAAGCCCGCTTGGACGAAGTCCTGTGTAACATGCTCTAGGAGAACCTGCTTTAGCAGGGGGGTTGGACTGGGTGATCTCCCGAGGTCCCTTCCAACCCCTGCCATTCTGTGATTCTGTGATTACCCAGGGACCGTGTCCTAGCTCTCCATCTGCACATCAGAGTCTTGCTGAAAAGATGGGAGAAGGCCACGTTCATCAGCAAGTCCCCTTGTGGGCTTCTCACTAGCCACTCAAGTGGTTTCTGTGGTCAAAGTCCACCCATATCCATAGAACGCTCTGCTATCACAGAATAGACAAGATACGGCAAGAAGCGATGGGGTCTGAGACGCATTTTTGACCCTGGAGATCAGGTTCTTGAACACAAGATTGCTCACCCTCCCTAATGCTGGTCTCCCTCACCCAGAAACGCAGCTCTTGCAGGCTCGTTTCTCGTCTCGCCTTCCTGCATCACATTTCATAACACACCAGGAGAGGCCAGGACATCTGACACTTGCAGATCATTCCCTGTGACATTTCCCCAGTTGCTTTTGAGGCTTTCATCCCGGCGTGTGGAGGAGATCACGATTAAGAGAAGCGGTGGCCGTTGGGTAGCCCTGCGTACCCACACCCTCCTGGCAAGCAATCCCTTCTGTAGGGATTAATTTGGAAGACATTTCTAAAGCGTTTGTCTGCTAGGATGAAAGACCCCGCAATACATCTTGATGAGACGTTTGAAATCGCACTTCGATGTGTTTAAAATCTCACTTGTTCATATTGTCACAGCTTGGCAGCCTGAGTGTCAAAAACTTCCTAAATATCAGGTGCTATTTTTACTGCTCCAAGTTTCATTCTTTCTGTCGAGTCATACGACCACATTTGGGAGAGCGTGCCCATACCGCGGCTTTTAGGAAAATCACCTTGCCCCGCTGGGGTCCTGCTGCAGCTCCGGTATACGAGGGATGCTTGTGCAGCCTGGCTGGTGGCGCAGCATCCTCCAGCAAGCCAGGGACACTCGGTGTAAAAGCACCGGCCGATGGCCTGGCTGTTGCTCGCGGCGCTTGCTATTACCCACCACAGGAAACGCACATCTGTCAGTCTCGTACAAACCAGCCTTGCTAATTTGGTTGCTTCCTCCCATGCCCCAATCCCACCTCCATCACATCACCCATCCTGTGGGCTTCTTCCCAGGGACCACAAGAAGATGGGAAGGTCAGAGGCGCTCAGCATCCCTACCTGTCAGGCAGTTACTCCGTATCAGCTCCCGTGTAAACGAGAGCAAGGTTTGGACCTGAGATTTCTGCCTGGCTGCAGATCACACTGCGTGTAATCATTGCAAGCGTGCGCTGAGGACGCAGGAATCAAGACACGCAAGTCTGCAAAACAGAGACACCTATTGCTTAATAAGGAATAAGCCAATTAGGCTGAAACGCTTATGTGACAAAACTGGTGAAGAATCAGCAAGAACGGCGCAGCTCTGATGACTTAAGGACTCAAGGGACCGGGAGGGATGCCCGTGGCAGCCTGCCACCAGGACACGGCTCGGGGATCGCCCTGCACTGGGGTCACCAGAGCACCACAACCAAATCCTTGTCTCTGCCTTGAGCTACCTGCTCCAAAGGACTGGCAGGAGGCAGGAGGATGCTTGGAGCAGCCTGATGGTCACTGCTGCCCGCGAGGGAGCCACAGCCCAGGACTTTCAGGCTCTGCCCCCAAGCCAGCACGCTCTTTCTCCGAGCCAGGAAAGTCTCTCTTGCGCCTGTAGAGCGTCAGCTCTCACATCCACATGCATTCCCCATAACGCCAGCGTGGCCTGACTCGATCACCCCACGATGCTTCTTTTAATCGCTGCTCCAAAGACAAAATACTCGCACGCTTGCAGGGCTCAAATGTCACACACTTCACCCCTCCCATCCTTCATCTCAGGTCTTCCATTAGAATTTTATTCCTGGCATTGGTTCAGTTTCTTTGGCTGTGTTAATGAAACAGCCAGCAAAAGAAAAAAAACAAACACTGAAGCAGGCAAAAAGGATGCAGTGAAGGGCTTAGGACTGGGGTGGGTGGGTGTGTTTATGTATTTAGCTGTCCCCTTCTGGAAGGGAGAAGGAAAAAAAACCCCAAGAGCCCAGCGAAGACCTAGAAA